AGTATATATATATATATAGGGAGGAGGAGGAGACTGATCATTTATAGCCACAAATAATAAACGCAGCATAATTTCCATTGATATTCAGTGAGGTTCCGTTTTGTCTGCAGACAGCTGTTTAGGATTGATGGAGTCAAGAGTGTCTTCCTGGGCGGTGACTTTATCACCATAACAAGAGTAAAACCAGCTTCAGTTGATATGAAATTCATAGTGCAGCTCTGTGCCATCGCTTGGAATGAGGTTCTCTTTTTTCTCTCTCTTTTAGTCTGATGCAACTATGGAATGGAAAGTAATCAAACCTGATGTATTTGCTGCCATTATGGACTTTTTCACCACTGGGCTTCCTGTTGTCAATGAGGACAGTGAACCAAATGCAGATACTGGTAAAGGATTCAACCGTCTGAACATTGAAACATATCAGGTAATGGAAGATGTTTGCCAACTCTATAGAATCAACTTCTTATCCACTTCTATTCTCAGCTCCATCAGATGATGATGATGAAGTTGTGGCTATGATCAAAGAACTGCTGGATACTCGAATAAGGTAGCTGCCTGTGAAGACGCCCTCTCTTATCAGTACCTGTTCCCCGTCACCATGTTTTTCCTGTTCTGTTCTCACTCATGCTGATGGCCGGGTTTTGTTCCCCAGGCCGACAGTGCAGGAGGATGGAGGTGACGTCCTGTATCGGGGGTTTGAAGACGGCGTTGTTAAACTGAAGCTGCAGGGCTCCTGCACCAGTTGTCCCAGTTCCATTGTTACTTTGAAGGGTGGAATCCAGAACATGCTGCAGTTTTACGTTCCTGAAGTTGAATCAGTGGAGCAGGTTTGTTCTCCTGCCAGAGAATAGGTTTTCTCACACATGCACACACTTCTCATTTCAAAATTTCAGCTTGGTATTTTGTTTTTATACTTCTCAGTGAAAGTATGGGTTTCAAAGGAGTGGGGAACAGTGATTAAGAGAGCTATATCTCCTTTGAAAACGTTTAAAGTTATAATGTTTTTTCAATTATCACTCTTACTTTCTTTATTGCATAAACCAGCTGTCATTACCTGTAAGTTGTTGTGTCCAAAAGGCTTGAATCCCTGATTTAGTATGGTTTTTGTATAGTAATTTAAGTGTTGAATCTCTAGATTCATTTTAGGGATTTGACAGTTGTTTTCATTTGCACCTCATTGTTTCTCATATTCCTCAGCCACAAAATAACTTCAGGGGAAAAAACTGCAACTTGAAAATATTTACTAAATTTTGTATTTGTGTATCAACAGGTGAAGGACGAGGAAGAGGAGATGAATGCTCAAGTTTGAATTACTCTGAAACCTAGAACCGAATTTGCACATTCCTCTCTCCCCTGGTCATCTGATGTGGACACAGCTGGAGGAACTGTTGAACAGCGTGACTGTGTGAAAGACCCTGTGATCATCATCATGATTCATCCTGATGTTATTGTTGACTTTGGTAGCTGCTTTGTACAATGACAGTAAAATATAGATCAGAAGAGCCCAAAAAAGTAAACTGACGACTGTTGAGCTAAATTCAATTCTATTTATTATTTCACAGGATTTCACGTTTTCTCACTCAAAACATCTTTTAGGTTTAAAGTCCATATATAGTGCTGTATGTATGTAAATAAAGTTTATTGAAATATTTTATAACTGCCTCTCTCTCTGTCATGATCTAATGCTTTTTTAATCTTTTTTTGAATGTGGAATGGATTATTTATGAATATTGTGATCTTTCTTTTTGCCTTTGTGAAGGAGGTTACATTTGTTTGTTTATTGGTTGATTTATATGTGTGTAATTAAGATTTCCCCAAAACAACAGACCTCCATGAAAGGATGTGGTATGGGTCAGGGAATAACCCGTGTTAAATTTTGGAGCAGATCCGGATCAGGGACAGATCCAGGACATTTTTCTCACTTTAACATTGCAACGTTTCTCAACATTTTCTGTTTTCCCAGGGAATCATTTATGGATTTTGATTTTAAAGAGCAGGCATATTTAGAGAACTGAAATTGGAATGGGCAGCAAAGGGGATAGAAAAATGAGAAGCATCAGTTAAAAAGTAATAATCAAGTATTAGTAGTGGCATAGCAACAACGATAAGCAGCATAAGTTATAGAAACATACCCATTAAAAAATGACATTGCCATTGCCCCCACATCCAACAAACACAATTACAGACACACACTATAAGGGCAATAATCATAAGAGATAAATATTAAGATTGATAAACGTGTTTTGTTTTAAATAATTTATCTCATTTTATCTAATCTCATCTTGAGCATTTTACATATTTTGCCACATCGGACCAAATCCCTTCATTGAGGCCATGAACAACTGTGTTTTTTGTGGACACATTGTTGACTCACAATCAAAGATCGATCCTTCTGTTATTCATTACGGATGAGTTGTGTACCGTCCTGCAGCTCAGGTCTGTGCGGTCGTGTTAGTTTTAGACGTCAGACTCATCATCGGGATCCTCGTCCTGCTCACGGATCCGCATCCTGATGCCACGTCATGAGTACCTGCGTCGGTAGGTGCAACCCCGACTGACAGGCCGCTCGACCAATCAGAAGGCGCCATGGAATCGGCTGGTTGGCTCTGATTCGGTAAGATCACGGTGGGGGGACGAAGCTTATGTGACAGACGGACCCAGCTACCAGAGTAGCAGCCAAACTGAAGACATGTGTGGTGAGTACAGGACGTACCTACATTTACAGAATTCACGGGGGGATGTGCGATGTTCTTTAATCTCTGGAACAACACGTACATCATATGCGACACGTTGCTAGCATCGCCAGCTAAAGGCTAAACCCGCAAACCAGTTGAAATAGCCTGCTAGGGGTGGCTAACCTGAGTTAGCGAACACGAGCTGATGTTGCTGCTCCTGTTGGTCATTTAAACATCCACCAGACATGTTTCCTTTTCCTCCTGCGTGCTGTCCGCGCGTGAGTTGGGATGTGGAGGCTCGAGCAGGGAGTCGACATGAGCAAACATCGTAGAAATGCTAACCTGCTAACACAGAGCTAACGTGATTTGCGCTGGCATTACGACAAAAGCGTAACTTTCCTCTCAAACCTCTCACAGCGTGTTTGATTGGAATAAACCCACGAGCTACGAGGTCGTTACACTTTAGCTAGAGTCGTGTTATAAATGTGTGTGTGTGTGTGTGTGTGTGTGGGATGTAACACCGGGGCTTCGCTTGTGATGCCGCAACAATGTCACCGGAGTACCCGGGAAATGATGCCTTAGATCGGTATCACAGGGAAATGTAGTCGAGATGTTTTGCTGGTATCAGCGTCGCCTGTGTCCTTTCCTCTTTTTATACAGTCTATGGTCCTGTCTTGTCTCACTTGGGCCTGATAACCGGGGACTCTGTCTCCCATCACTGTCACTACAACTAACTTAACCATGTCCAGTTGCCTCTCACTCCGCCTCCCCCTTTCCCCCGCTGCTCAATGAATGAATGAATGAATGAATGAATGGATAAATGGATGCTCTGTTGGACCCTCTGGCTCCCTGTTGGCATTTACTTCTCAGTGCTCAGTTCTGTATAAAGCCTTCTTTACATGCCTCCTCCGTGGATAGATGGATAGAAGGATATTTATTTCATCCTTTTGGAAATTCACCATGTGCCTTACAGCATACGTCAGACAGGCAGCTCCAGGACAACAATGACCCGCAGCACCAATAACTCAATATAACCACAGACTAATAAACATCACACCAAATAACTTAACATTGTGTAGTAGTAAAGTGCTGTATCACACACTGAGGTTCAAGTGTTTTCCTTTCTAAGCTTATGCTCTGTATATAGCCAGTTGGCGAGACACTCCTCAGTGTGTGATATCAGGTATTGGATTGGCCATAGATCTCAGACATTTGCAGATAATTGCTCAAATTTACCAATAACGTCTGTTAAGTCTTGATTTATGCTGGCCTGTCTTTCAGTGTGTTTGGCACATGCACCTTAGTCTGACTGACTGATTGACACGGGTATGATGCAGCTTTAAATGAAACTCAAAGCTATGTTCTTTATATGTAAGCCTCTCAGACTAAAGCCAGACTCTGGGTTGAGAGTTTGTTACGCCTCCCAGCAGAAACACTCCATTGTCTCCAAGCAGGTTCTACTGCTGGAGAGAGCAGTATTTGTTTTCCAGGACCATCACGCCTCCTGTAGGGCAGGTTTGTCATGCATTATCCCCAAAATAGATTTTGGACATGGAGCCTGTAATAGTAGAGCGGTACGTCACAAAGTAAATGCTTGTTCCACTGTGTCCGGAAGGAATCAGATTGCGTTCTTCTTCAGTCACCTCGACATATTGTTGTCATTTTCAGGTCAGAAACTATGATGGTATAATCATAAGAACAACTAGATCGACCAGTTTGACTGACGTTGAATTCAACCTGAACTTTTAAGTGCCTGCCTAGAATTTTAAAGTGGACAGAAAGCTACAAAAAAATGTAGTCGACAGACCCACATTTTTTATAAAGAAAACACAGCTTTATTCTAAGATTTTTGTTTTCCTCTCCTTAGGAATCTTTGCCTATCTCAACTACCATGTGCCAAGGACTCGCCGTGAGATCCTTGAGATCCTCCTCAAAGGTCTGCAACGTCTGGAGTACAGAGGCTATGACTCAGCGGGTGAGAGCAACAAAACAACAACATTCACATCAACAACAGACTCCTGCTTATTTATCAGACCTTTTCCTTTTCTGTCCCCTCACTGCCTGTGTTAAAGAGATAGTTCACTGAAAAATAAAAATTCACTCATTACTTACTCACCACTCTGCGGTGGAGGACTGGGTGAAGTGTTTGAATCCATAAAACACTTCTGGAGTCTCAGAAGTTAACTTTGTTGCAGCCGAATCCAAAACAATACAAGTAACTGGTGACCGAGACTTGAGACGTAATAAAACAACATAAAATTCCTCTATACTGCTCGTGTGATGTCATCTTAAAGGTACAGTGTGTAGAATTTAGTGAAATCGAGTGTTGAAGTTTCATGTTGCAGCTGAATGCCCCTCACCCTCCCCTTCCAAACATGATAGATCATAAGGATTATTCTACATTCAATTTCTGCCAATAGATCCCTTTCACCTAAATCTTACACACTGGACCTTTAAGTGTCCGCAGCATATGATTCACCTTCATCATTCACATTTGATGTTTATTTGTTTTTCTGAAAATGTGGGGAACTCAAAGCAAGACGATGTCTGCTGTGAATTAACAGCCATTATCATGAGGCTGGGTCAGACGTATTGCACCATTAATGGAGCTAATTTACTGTGTGATAAGTTCATTTGCATTTCATCAACATCTTACAGTTTTTTGCAAACCTTCACTGAATGTAGTAGCATGTTCAGTTGGAGTTCAGCTCTGTCATCAGACTAAAAACAGTATATTACTTGCAATATGAAATCTCCACCAACCCGTTGATACTGAAGGACTTGTGATCCCTGTTATTCTCATGCTATTTCTTCATTTTTGTTTTTTGTTAGGTGTGGGGATCGATGGGGGTAACGGCAAGGAGTCAACTGGCAAATCTATCCAAATCATCAAGCAACGTGGAAAAGTGAAGGCTCTCGATGAGGAGATCCACAGTAAGCTGACAGAAGGAGAATCAGTTTTGATTTGTCATCCTGTATGTGACTGAACCATTAAGATACTAAGTTTAGTCTTTGTTTGGTTGTGTTTGTTTGACTTTTAGAGCAGCAGGACATTGACCTAGATGTGGAGTTTGATGTTCACCTCGGCATCGCCCACACCCGCTGGGCCACCCACGGTGTACCAAGCCCAGTCAACAGCCATCCACATAGATCTGATAAGAGCAATGGTCAGTTGAGTTAAAGATTGAAAGCTGTTTCATTTCACGCAGCTTAATGTTTTATCTTGCATTTCCATAACTGCTCAGTCTGTTTTTATTGACTTGGGTGGAGGCATCATATCGTAAAAATGATTATTTTATGATTATGATCTCTCTGTTCTACAGAATTCATTGTCATTCACAATGGAATTATCACCAACTACAAAGACCTGAGGAAATTCCTGGTGAGCACATATCTTTCAAAAACTATAATAGGCATTTTGTCATCACTCTATGGGTTAGTGTTAGACTAACTCTCTAACTCAATCTCCACAGGAGAGCAAAGGCTACGAGTTTGAGTCGGAAACCGACACAGAGACAATCGCCAAACTGGTGAAGTACATGTATGACAACCGCGAGAGTGACGACCTCAGTTTTTCCACACTGGTGGAGCTGGTGATCCAGCAGCTGGTAAGGATCTGCTCGTGCACTCTGCCTCTCCTTCTGTGATCAGCAGATGAAAGTCTGATGAGTTTGTTCTTCCACCTGACAGGAAGGAGCTTTTGCCCTGGTCTTCAAGAGTGTCCATTACCCCGGAGAGGCGATTGGCACTAGGTAGGCCATCGCTGATGCTGTCGAACTGTTTAAGTTATTGCAGAATAAAGTATTGTTATATCATTTAAATGTTACTGTGCAGGAGGGGAAGTCCTCTGCTGATGGGAGTGCGGAGTGATCACAAGCTGTCCACAGATCATATTCCTGTGCTCTACCGCTCCTGTAAGATCTTTGTTTTATGAATGTAGAAAATATCTGTTTCTAATTTTTCCACACACTGCGCAGGCATGACTGAGGCCCATTTTCGTTTCTTTTTTTCTCAGCTGGTAAAGACAAGAAGAGCTGCGGTGCTCTACCCAGGAGCGACCAGGACACCTGCCTGTTCCCTGTGGATGAGAAAGCTGTGGAGTACTACTTTGCTTCGGATGCAAGGTCAGCAGATGGCAGTTTTTGTATCCACCTTTTACAGCTTCACATCCTCCTTGATACGTTCATGAATCAAATGTCTGATGTGGTTCTCCGTCTGTCTCTCCTGTCATGACAGCGCAGTGATCGAGCACACAAATCGAGTGATCTTCCTGGAGGATGACGATGTGGCCGCCGTGATGGACGGCCGGCTGTCCATCCACAGGATAAAACGCAGGGCTGGAGACTACCCATCCCGGGCCATCGAGTCCCTGCAGATGGAGCTGCAGCAGATCATGAAAGGTGAGTGGAGGGTCGGACTTCATTGTGTTTACATTTTCTCGCCATCATAAATAACTCAAAGCCACATTTGAAGATACATCTGTTGAAGTCTTCCTTGTAATTTGGACCCTTGTAATTTCTGTCCTGTTATTATTGTGTGAGTCTTGGGAGACTGGCTTTTTGACGTCTAGTCCTGAGGCTATCTTTTTTATCACTCCGATATTTACAACCCTGCTGGATCACTTGCACTCCAGGGAAGCCTCTGTCGTAAAAATGACCCATGAATTGACGTAAAACCCTTTTATCCAAAAATTAGCTTCTTTGTTTTTTTCTTTTTCCACTTGTTAACCAGATAAAAAGGAGATTGAGTCCTTTCATGTTGCCAGTTGACCTGGTTGACATTGTGTTTTGACTGTTAGTCTTACAGACTGGTAAAATGGATCTGTCTTATCTCACCCACTGGTTGGATGAGCAATCACCAAGTCTATAAAAGATCAATTAGTAGAAAAACAAAGTAAAAAAATAGCCTAACACAACATCCCAGAGCCTTAGTGTTATCGTATAGTTTATGTCAGAGCAAACATATTTCATTTGCCTTCATAAATTACAGAAACAAGCAGCGAACTCTCATACGTGAGAAGCTGGAATCAGTTTGACAAAAAGGACCGAAATGATTTATCAATCATCAAGCTGCTATTCCTGTACATTGCAAACGTATTTTTCTGAAGTGTCCTCTCCTCCACTGACTGTTCCTCAGTAATCCAGCAGAGGGCAGAGGCGAACTGAAGCTGGCTGCTCTTGACATTCCTTTGTGTTCCTGTCATTACTCAGCCTCTCTCCTCTGCCTCAGTTTCTGGAGACTTTCTGCTGAATAACCTCATTCCAAATTGCTCTCAGAGGCAGAATAAAAACCTCATATGTCACTGTCACAGATTATAATTGATTGCAAAACAGTGTCTCCCCGATGTTTCATGTTTGTCTTCGTGTAAGGGATGACGTAACACTGTGGCTCAGAATTTTAATAAAGGAACGAAAAAACTAAAACAGACAGCAACTCCCTGCATTTCCAGGGGATTCTTTTAATCATAAAAACAAATTTTGTTCCAGTGAAAAACTGAGATTTTCAGGAGGTTGATGTGCGTCAATGACATATTTCTCTTTCTTTAAACAATTTTGAAAAAGTTAACCTGATTTCTGATTATCTCACCACAGGCAACTACAGCTCCTTCATGCAGAAGGAGATATTTGAGCAGCCAGAGTCTGTGGTCAACACCATGAGAGGGAGAGTTAACTTCGATGACAACACAGGTCAGAGAGATGTCTGATTATAGGTGCTGTTACATCAATGTTCCACTGAGACAACACTTTTCCACTCTGTCCCAGTATACTCTCTTCAGATTTACACATTTATTGCTGCAAATTCCAACTTTTGAATAACCTCTAAAACATAAACAGTCACTCTTTTCTGCTGGCCTACTTTCTTCAGGCATGTCACTGAAACATTGCTCAGATGTTTGTTTCAGGATTTGTGAATAGGAAAGCACATATATACCTTGTCAGTGATTCTCTCTGCACTCTGGTGGCCTTTTTTTTTTTTTTATGAGATGGAAAATGTTGGAGCAGAATGATGGATTAGCGGTTTGGTTTGCTTTCCAGTGACGCTGGGTGGACTGAAGGACCACATCAAAGAGATCCAGAGGTGTCGGCGACTTATACTTATAGCCTGCGGCACCAGCTATCATGCTGGAGTAGCGGTGAGTAGCCATTTGACAAATGCTGTCCGCCTTCGGTGTAAATGCACACCATCTAAATCTTTATGTTTCGCTATCTTGTTCGTAAGACAAGTATGAAATGTGATGTCCATACTGTGGACACAGCTGTGTGAAGTTTATGGGTTAGCACATGTGCTCAACAGGTTTGTTTTGCTAAACAGTCCTCTGTTACTTTCCCAGACCCGTCAGGTCCTGGAGGAGCTAACCGAGCTGCCTGTCATGATTGAGCTGGCCAGTGACTTCTTGGATAGGAACACACCTGTGTTCCGAGATGACGTCTGCTTTTTTATCAGCCAGTCAGGTGAGGAGGACGGTGCCATCTGCAATTCCCTATTCCCTATTTATCTTCTAGTTTCATAGGGAGCAGTTTGACGTTCAGTAGGTCAAAGTTTTTAAGTCAAAGTTCTGCCGCACAGTAGAGTTTTCTCTACCTAAACACTCTGCCTGGGGAATTTGTGCTGATGGTGGCATTCTTTTTTTTATTTTTTTTTTTATTTTTTATTTTTATTTTTATCTTGTAT